TATACGGCCGTATACCGGACTGTACCGGTAGAAACCCACCTCTGGTATAGATGTAATATATCTTGATTGTATCCATCGCTTTTTAAAACCACTTTGACGACTTTAGTAGGAGTTAAAAGACTTGATTGTACAAGGGATGCCCAAAATGAGACTCAAAGGATACTCCTTGATGGTTAAATCGAATTAGGAAAAATTCTTGTCAAATTGGAGAATAATATTTCATCCATATAGGAACTATGCAGAATAACAGAATTGGAAGGGACCTTGGAGGTCTTCTAGTCCACCCCCCCCTCGGTCAAACAGAAAACCCTATAATATTTCAGACAAATGGCTGTCCAAACTCTTCTTAAAAACATCTCCAGTGTTGGGGATTTACAACGGCTTGTTTAGTGGCCATTCAAAGTCACGACGGCACTGAAAAGAAGTGACTTACGACCGTTTTTCACCCTTAATGACCGTTGCAGCATCTCGATGGTCATATGATCAAAATCCAGATGCTTAGCAACTGGCTCGTATTTATGACGGTTTTGAGACCTTCTGACAAGCGATGTCAGAAGGGAAGTCACTTAACAACTGTGGTAGGAAAGGTTGTAACATGGAGTGAAATTCACTTAACAATCATTTCACTTAGCGACAGAAATGTTGCACTCAATTGTGGACATATGTCGAGGACTACATGTAGAATTGAGGAAGATAGGTACAGTGACATGGTGGGATGGATGATGAATGGATGGATGGATGGAAGGATGGATGGAAGGATGGAAGGATGGATGATGGATGGATAGATGGATAGATGGATGGATGAATATATGGATGGATCATGAATGGATGGATGGATGGATGGATGGATGGATGGATGGATGGATGGATAGATGGATGGATAGATGGATGGATAGATGGATAGATGGAAGGATGGATGGAAGGATGGATGGAAGGATGGATGATGGATGGAAGGATGGATGGAAGGATGGATGGATAGATGGATAGATGGATGGATGAATATATGGATGGATCATGAATGGATGGAAGGATGGATGATGGATGGAAGGATGGATGGAAGGATGGATGATGGATGGATGGATAGATAGATGGATGGATAGATGGATGGAGATGGATAGATGGATGGATGGATGGATGGAAGGATGGATGATGGATGGAAGGATGGATGGAAGGGTGGAAGGATGGATGATGGATGATGGATGATGGATGATGGATGGATAGATGGATAGATGGATGGAGATGGATAGATGGATAGAAGGATGGATGGATGGATGGATGGATGGATGGATGGATAGATAGATGGATGGATATATGGATGGAGATGGATATATGGATGGAAGGATGGAAGGATGGATGATGAATGGATGGATCGATGGATGGATATATGGATGGATCATGAATGGATGGATGGATAGATAGATGGATGGATCAATGGATGGATGGATCGATGGTTGAATATTTATGTGCCATCAAGTCAATGTCAGTTTTTAGCAGCCACTGTTACCTTTCCTAAGTTATTCTGTCCCAAAAGACAAATACATTCTGAATTTTCTTCAAAATGTTTCCCTTCTCATCCAAGAAGAGCCTTGGATGAGAAGGGAAACATTTTCAAAGGAAAAAAACCCCAAATCCCGTTCCCTTTTGAAGAACCCTTTTGGGACAACCATGACCTGGATGATGGAGAGAATCTCTTCTTGACCGCCGGTTCCTTCAACGGTTGAGGGTTGATCCTAAAAGGCCAGGAGGCTTTATGACATTTTGATATCTGAATATCAAGAACTTCGTGAGTGATCCACCAAGGGCTGGGCCTGCAAATATTTCTCCCGAAATTGAACATCCTATCTATCACATTTTCGCCCTGCTGGGAAGGGGAGAAAACAGATATCAGAGAGAGAGAGAGAGAGAGAGA